TATCATCATCGTGATATTAAGATAGAAAGGCACTTACAATGAAGACAGTGTCATAAGTGTAAGGAGAAATACTGCTTACAGTTTTGACAGTGAATATATTGGTATCCGTTTGCCCAAAATTCCCTCACGTGTATATATATAGATACATACACACACGCGCTAGTGCACACACACACACACACACACACACACACACACACACACACACACACACACACACACACACACACACACACATACACACACACACACATACACACACACACACACACACACACTCACACTCACACTCACACACACACACACACACACACACACACACACACACACACACACACACACACACACACACACACACACACATACACACACACATACGCCGGTTATTCCTTGCACACAGAGAATAAATCAAAATCACAAGAAACAGACAGCCGCGACCTGGCAGACAGCACATGAACCTGTCCTCAAATCATAAATTACTAACATTAATATCATTGTACTTGTTTACACACACACAAGGTATGAATCAGACCCGGAAATGTTACACATGCACTGGATACACACAGGATATCACTGTGGATACACACAAACACATACACACACATACACACACACACACACACACACAAACACACACACACACACACACACACACACACACACACACACACACACACACACACACACACACATATATATATATATATATATATATATATGTGTGTGTGTGTGTGTGTGTGTGTGTGTGTGTGTGTGTGTGTGTGTGTGTGTGTGTGTGTGTGTGTGTATGTGTACGTATATATCCATATATGTATACATACACATACACACATGTTCTCCTCAGAAGCCCAGCGGCGCAAACAACAGCCGACGTGAGGTCTCTCCGATGTAGCGACTTCCTGCTGCTATATCCGCGCGCGTCCGCCCTCATTTCTCGCGTTTCCTTCGCACTTAGACCGTCGAGAGGAAAATACCGGGAGGGAATAAGGGAGAGGGAGAGGGAGAAGAAGAGCAGGGAAGGGGGTGTGATAGGTAGAGGAAGAGAGAGGGGGAGAGGTGAAAGAGAGAGAAAGAAGAGAAGGAAGAGAGAGAGAGGGAGGATGAGACGAATGAGAGAGAGAGTGAGAGAGAAAGAAAACAAGAGAGAGAGAGAGAGAGAGAGAGAGAGAGAGAGAGAGAGAGAGAGAGAGAGAGAGAGAGAGAGAGAGAAAGAGCAAGAGAAAGAGAAAGAGAGAGAGAGAGAGAGAGAGGGAGAGAAGACAGACAAGAGAGCACGAGAGAGCGATGCCTCAGCCACGCGCCGTCACCAGCTTAAAAATAACCGCCCATGTGTCTGGCATATATTTATACATATATGAGATTTAAGAATCCCCCCCGCCCGCACACGCCCACGCCCTCACTCTAGGAAAAGGGAGCGTAGAGTGACTCGTGATGTAGGTATGTAAGTGTGGGCTGAGAATGGTGTACGGGAGCTTAGGATTTGGCGTGGAGAATGATACATTCTCTCGCTAACGTCTTTATATTTATATGTTTGTATACATGTATTCATATATATATATATATATATATATGTATATATATATATATATATATAAATATATATATATATATATATATATATATATATATATATATATATATATATATATATATATATATATATATATATATATATATATATATATATATATCTGTGTGAGTGTGCATTTATGTATTCTTATATACATATAAATGTACATATGTATATATGCATATATGTATTTATGCATATAAATGGATCTTTCCATCTATATCTTTCCATCTACCTTTTATTTATTTATCTATCTATCTATCTATCTACATATATGTCTATTGATCTATGCCTCTAGCTACTATCGGTATTCTTGTTTTATTATTGCTATTGATATTATTGTCATTAATAAAATTATTATCATTATCAAGTTCATTATCATTATCATTATTATGATAATGATAACAATAATGACATTGATGTTAAGTGTAACAGTAAAAATAAGAGCAATTATATAACAATTACAATATTATATTACAATTATACAACAATTGCCATTCTTTTATTATTACTTTTATTATCTTCATCCTTATCACTATTGTCACCACTGCTATTATAAACTTGAAGATCCCGAGCAAAGCACAACAAAAATGTAGACCAATAAATAATTTAAATATATATATAGGCCTATATATATATATATATATATATATATATATATATATATATATATATATATATATATATATATATAATATACGAATCATAATACTCTTTCCGGACATAGAGCCCTAATTCTATTACAATCATTTGCAACTAACTTCACTGCAGTTACAAACCATTTTTTTTTACAATAGAGGAGCGGGTTATGATGGCACACCAGATACGGCGCATTACTCTGCTAATTTACAGCTTCTTCATGGCGTAAATATGTGTGTCTTTCATCGAAGTATTTAGGTTACTGTACCCTTTCCTTGCCTTTGTCTCTGCCTCACACATTTTTACTC